GCTGCGCCCCTGCCCCGGCGCTTGCAGGTCGGAGGCCGCACCTACCTCCGCCCTCCCCGCGGTGGGCTCCGCTCGGCGGCTGGGCGGCAGGCGCGCGGAGAGCCGGACTGTCCCGAGGGCGGCGGCGGCGCGGAGGGGAGGGACCGCTTTATGGGGCGGCGGCAGGTAGGAAGGAGGCGCTGGTGAGTCAGGCCGGCCGCATTCCTGCACGCGGTGCGCACCTGTCGGGGCAGGAGCCGGGCCCGCCCCCCGGAAAAGGCTGCGGCTCCCGCGGCGCCCGGCCCAGCGACCCGACCGACGGCGGCGGGGCCAGGGGAGGAGCCGCCCCTCTCGCTCCAGTCCTGCCCCGGGCGCCGCGCCTCCCCACCCCTCCGGACTCCAGCCTCGGTTGCCCGGCTGCCCGGAGCTAGGGGTGGCCTCTTAGCCCCCGCCCCGGATCGCCGTCCGCGGTTCTCCAGTCCCGGGGCCCCGAGCCTCCGCACTGCCCGAGGGCAAAGACTTGGCGCACCACCTCCCTCCCGCCGGGGCCAGCGCGAGGGACGAGCCAAGAAAGGGCCATTCACGGGGTCCCCTCTGGCTCCCCACCCGCCCAACCCAGACGCGCGTCCAGAGCGCGATCAGGATGAGGGCCGAGTCCCTGACAAGCTCGCAACCCTCCTTACCTTGTGAATAGTAAGTGTCAGAGGCCAGCACCCACCCAGCAGGGAGTGGACACTCGAATTGTTGTGGTTGTTCCTGACACGCTCGCTCACAAATCTGACCCCTCCAGTCCTTCCCGGGCAATCTCTCAAGAGCTGCAGACAAACGTGGGTCCCAGCTGGAGCTGCTCAAGTTGCCCCTGGACCCCGACTTGATCTATTTCTCGGGCCCCACCTGCCAACAATGCCACTGAACGCCCTGTTGCTGGCGGGCCGCCTGCCCAAACTGGGCAGCTTCCAGCCACCACGGTGGTTTGAAACGATCTGTTTTGAAGGTTTCCTTCTCCATTGGACTGTGAACCCTGAGGACAGACATTCTAGTACATCTTTTTATCCCCAGTTCCCAGCACAGTGTTTGACACCTAGTAGGTGCTCAATAAAGAGTGTGGTCGGACCGAATGGGGTTGCTCGGTGGCCTCCCGGAGCCTCAGGGCCCTCCTCTGCAGTTGTCCGACATCCTGCCACCTCAGAGTGACCATGGGAGCGGCCAGGACAGGATGTGGAGGAGCTGCACAGAGGTCCACTGCAACTGTGCGAGCCATTGTCGCCACTCAGCTGCCTTGCCCCCTCGTCTTACTCTGCAGGGGCCCGGCGGCTGGCTCCTGGACTTGGGAGCACTGTGGAGGAACCCCAGCTTGGGCGAGGTACGCGGGCCTGGGAGTGCCAGACCCCAGGAAGCCGAGGAAGACAAGCCATGAGGTTGCTCAGCTTTCCAAGAGCCTGGAGTTTCATTGCCTGGAGTCTGCATTTGGCCTTGGGGGGGGGGGTGGGAGTGTCCGTGCTCCATCTGAGGTCAAGTGCAAAACTCCAGGTGTGTGTGTGATGTAGGAATGTGTTGTGCCGAGAAGAGTGTCCTTCGTTTATACTATATTCCCAAGTAGGTAACCAGCCCCCAAAGGGTTAAGAATTATTGTACTACGTATTCATTTTATACACAAATAAAACCTCACCGTCTCAGTCTGCAGCCTCAGGGCGAGGTGAGAGTGAGGCCGGCTTGTAGGGGGGCTTCCCTCTCTAGGCCCTGCCAGAGGGGCGAGGGGCCCCTAGAACAGGACGGAGTAGCCTGTGTGAGCTTTGGACGCCGCCTCCAGCTCCCAGCGCGCGTCACCTGGCTCTGGCGGGCCGACTGTGCGCCCCTCCACCCAATCACTCACACACGAGCATTCAGGGAGCTCTGGTGCCAGGGGCTGGGGAAGGCATTGCACCGCCTGCTCGTGGCAGGGAGCTGCAGAGTGGGTGGTATGTTCTTCAGGGGTGTGCCGGGTAACCCACTACTTCTTACTTCATTTCTGAAGATCCTCACCTGAGGTTGTATTTACGGATCCCGGAGAGAAAGGTGGGGAGAGAGAGAAACAGTGATGTGAGAAAACATCGATCAGTCGCCTCCCCTACACATCCCATCTGGGGAGCCCTGACCAGGGATCAAACCTGCAACTCAGACATGTGCCCTGACCGGGAATCGAACCCACGACCTTTTTTTGGTGTACAGGATGACGCTCCAACTGAGCCAAACCAGCCAGGGCAATAATGCACTATTCCTGCGCTTGATAATGTACATCATGTACTGGTAGGGTGGTGCGTGTTTCTGTAAATAAACAAGTTAAATGGTAGGGGATGTGTGATCGAAACAGCTTGGTGACCAGAGACCCAATGTCAACCATCCTGTCTAACTGAGGGTGACACCTCTCAGGGGGACAGTCTCTGCGCCCCTCTCCCCCCAGCGCCAGTGGGTTGCCAATAGACCTCCTTGGAAATTATGACCCCCCCCAACCTTTTACTTGCAATATTTTCGAACATGTAAGAAAGCTGAGAGTTGAAATACAGTTGAAGATCACCCGTATTTTTACCACCCGGACCCAAGCAAGAGCAAACATTTCACTGTGTCTACTTTATTCATGCGCTTGTCACGTGTCCGCCTTTTTACTTGAAGCCGAAGCTGGGACACGCATCTCTGCAGGCTGCAGGCGTGTGCCTGGCCCACACACTGCCAGGACATTGTCACCACACCTGTGACAACGAACAAGAGTGTCCTCTCACCTGGTCCAACCCACACAAACATTTCTTAGTTGTCCCCAAATTGCTATGTTTCCTTTCAAAGTGGAGTCCAATCCCCCTCACTGTGGCCTTTCTCTTTCTTACTCGAAAGCAACCTGTCGCCCTCCCCGCGCCCCCCCAACACACAAGCACACGCTGACCTTTTAAAGGCCAGGTGACCAGCAGAACGCAACGCTCCGCTCTCTGGGTTTGCCTGGCTGCTTCCTCACGGCGTCACTGGACTGGCTCTGTCGGCCAGTTTCTGCTGGAAACTGGGGGTCGGGCCTGAACATCTGATCAGGTTCGGGGCAGATGTTTCTGGAAGGGAGTTCATGGCCATGCTGTTTTAACAGGAGGCTGGGTAGCTGCCGAGCCAGCCGACAGTGATGGTTAAGGAAGTGACCGTCGTCTGTTGTCGGGCAGAAATACATTTCTCACTTTGTTGGTAAGTAATCTAGAGGGGGGTTGCTGCCTTGTCCCCTGCCCAGTTCCCCACCCTTTCAAAGGAAGGGTTTGAGCATCCGCTGTGGATGCCCGCCTGGAGTGGTTTTGATGGTGAAGAATGATCTTGTTTCTCTACCTTTAATAGAATGTATCCTTCTGATTTATTTTTTTAAAAAAAGTTTCCCTTCATCAACAGGGGATGAACTGTGTGCCTCCAAAAATATAGGGGAGCTTTTTTGTTATAATTTTTAAAAAGTTATTACTATAAAAGCAACCCGAGATTAAAAATATATAAAAATTGCCATCTTCATTTTACTTTTTAAATTTATTTATCTTTAGAGGGGAAGGGAAGGAGAGAGGGAGAAAAATATCAATGTGTGGTTGCCTTATGTGTATCCCTGCTGGGAACTGGCCTGTAACCCAGGTATGTGCCCTGACTGGGAATCGAACCACAATCTTGTGGTTCCCAGGCCTGCACTTAAGCCACTGAGCTACACCAGCCAGGGCTACCATCTTCATTTTAAAGCGCACAGTTCAACAGGGTTAAGCTCAACATTCCCATTTTTTGGCACCAGGTCTCTGAGACTTTCTCACATTGCACGCTTTATACTCAGTGGAACTTCATACCCCTGAAGCGGCTCCCGGTTAACTGTCCACTTCGTCATCTCCATGAATCTCACTCGGGCAGCGGAGCCGCCTCGCTCAAGTGGAGTCACAGGGCATCTGTCTTTTTGTGACTCCGGGTCAGCGTCCCCCCCCCTCGTTGTGTGTGCCCACCATCTGTCCCCTGCCCCTGCGCTGCTCCCGCTTGCTGCGTCTTGTGCATGTGAACAATGTGACTTCGAGACCCTGCTTTTCTGCCTGTCTCCACTCACTGCTGTCCCCACTGTCCCCAACGACCTCCACAGTGCCCTTGCGTTGCAGGGCAGGAAACCCCTGAGGACACACTCTTGGGACCGTGGGGGGCAGGAGCTCCTCTCCAGGGCAGCAAGGTCCCCCAAAGGAGGAGGGAGGGTCCTCTGGAGTCAAGTTGTGTGTGCCTGTGTGGGGACGAGTGCGACCTTTTATTTCGGGGGTGGCAGGGGCAGATTCACCGTGAGGTGCGATTTTAGGAACACCTTCCTAATCCTCCACATGCCCCGTGGAAGCGACTCGGTGCTTCACAGCCTGGCTTCCTCCCTGACACGCAGCCCTTCCGCCGGCGAGGAGAGGTGCCAAAGGGCAAGGAAGGCAAACGTGTCCTCTTCAGGCTGGTGGTGGCTGGGAAATCTGCTCTGGCCCCTCAAGGGGCCCAGAGGTCCTGGCACTGCCCAGGGCTGCTGTGGGGCAGAGATAACAGGCACAGGAAGGGTGCGGCGGCAGAGCCCTCCCCGGAGCCCGGCTCTCACGTAGGTAAACAATAGCTGCCCCCAGCCAGGGCAGGAGGTGATTCATCTCCCCGCTGCGTCGGCCCTGCCGGCCACGCTGGCTGGGCACCAAGGGGCCAGGACCGGGCAGCCTGGGCCGGCCGCCGACACTGGTGTGCAGGCCGGGATCCACCTCAGCCCTTCTTCTGGCGACTGGCTGTGTCCGAGCTGTAGGGGAGGCTCGACTGCCCCAAGGGAGCAGCGGCCTCAGCTCCTGTCGGTGAACCGGCTGGGTTCTGGGATCAGGACAGCTGGGACACGGGGTCTCACCCACTCTGGACAGCCACCTGCCCACGCCGAGTGGCACACCCTGGGCATGGCCACCCCTCGTCAACCCTGAGGAATAACTCCGACCGATAAGACAGGGCCCCGGGCTTGCGCAATCCCCTGGAAAGACTGCGCCTCCAGGAGGCCCAGGTGTAAGAACACGGCACTTTTAATAGGGCGACAGCCCACGCAGTGCAAGGACACTGTCCACAGCGTCCCCTCCTCTGCGGCAACGTCCTTCTCTTGGCTGGAAAGCCACACAGAGGCTCCTCTCGGGGCCGCATCTGGGCAGTGGGTCCCAGTCCTGAAACACGCAACACCGGACCGCCCTGTGCATCGGTCTCTGGGCTGCAGTCCTGGCGAGTCCTGGAACGGCCCCTCCCCTCGACGGGAGGAGGGAGGAGAATGTCCGAGCCACTCCAAGTGAGCCCCTCTGGTCATTGCTTGGCCTTCTTCACGATGGTGCCCACAGCGGAGATGACAGTGGTCTTGGAGCCACTGGCACTGGTGGTCACGGTGACGACAGCCGGCAAAGTGGCCGTGGTGGTGAGGATGGTGGGCTGGGCTATGGTTGTCACCGGGATGGCTGAGTCCCACTTACTTTTTCTCTTTTGGGCATCTGGGAAAATGGCAAGCGAGCAGTCAGGACCACACCATGCCAGGCAGTGACACCCCCTTTCAGAGGCCAGAGCTTAGGGAAGAGCAAGTGAAGGGGCCCTAGCCGTGGAAAGCTGAGGGGCAGCAGGTGAACCAGGGAGCCCGCCCAGCCTCCCCAGCAGGCTAGCAACCTTGGGCCTCAGGTCCCCATGGGGTCTGTCCTCCACACGAGGCAGGGAAGCCCTTGGCGCAACTGAAAACAGACAAGCCACCTCCTACCTGCGACTGCGGTGCTGGCCGTGGTGGTGGTAGTGGCCGTGGCATTGGTGGTGGTGCCTTTCTTGGTGCCTGTCACAAACTCAATCTGAGGGGGAAGAGGGCAGAGAGTAAGACCTGGGCAAAGCAGGTGGTCCCATCTTCTTGCCAGCCATCTGCCTGTGGGGGACACGAGATGGGCAGCACACAAAGGAGGCATTCAGAGTCAGCTCTGCTGGGGCGGTCCGGGGGAGGGAGGTGTCGGAGAGGTGCCCACAGGGCGCTTTCACTGCTCTGCAGAAAGCGCCGACACACACCCGTTGCCTCCCACCATCATCAAGCTTCTGCACGCGCCCAGGGACCCCTGCCCGCCAGCACAGGGCACAAACAGAGGCGAGAAGGGAAACGCAACCGAGGTGAAGAATGAGAAAACCTGGTCACTGCCAGCAGCAGCCACCAGGGCTGCCTGCTCGGCCTGCAGCCCCTCTGCCTGGGAGTTGGGGGGCCGTCCTAGAGGCCATGGCGCTGCTGCAGGAAGGGCCAGGTCAAGCCGGAGCTGGGCCACCTGCCCTGCGCTTCTCCCGCAGTTTCTGGTCAAAAAGTACCTAGAGCACATTTGGGCTCACAGCTACATTTCTGTGCCCGAAGGACCCACACTGCTTGGGAAGAGGCGGAGCTCAGGGTCCTGAAGTGAGGGGTCACCGGGCTATCAGACAAGGGACCTACAACAAAGCACTGAGGAAGCCCCTGAGGAAGGCACAGGACAGAGCGCCCTCAGAAGCAGACACTTGCCTACATTAGGCCTCCAGTGGCTGGGGGGAGGATGTGAGTGCCACAAAGTACGAGACCCCAGGAAACCACAAGGACGCAGCTGAGACGAGCTGGAAAGCCAGCAAGGCTTGTCTGTCCACAAGGCACACCAAGGGCTGCTCAGGGCACCCTTGCCAACGGGCCGGGCTGGGGGTGGGCGCATGAGCCGAGGTCTGCACACCCTCTGGGCTCAGCCAGCAGGGCCCCAGCACTCCCAACACCTGTCCTTTTCAAGTAATGAACATTTCCCATTGCTTACTTTGGTTCGCTCCTTTTTGGCCTTTTCCAATTTGTCCATTTCAATCTTCTGGGCTTTGGCTACAAAGACAAGAGAAGCTGTTTCAAAAGCAGCCCTGAACAGCTCCCACAGTTTAGGCTGATGGACACTAGTCCAGCACTGGCCGCATCCCCCGCATCTTGTTGATGCACTAAGGCAGCCTCCAGGCCAGCGGGGCCTCAGATGCAAAGGCCCGAGGTCTGGGGGCTGTGTGGCTCCCGCCCAGGGTGGGCCAAGGCCCTCGAGCCCCAGCTGACTGCTGCCGTGTGGGAATACAGAAGGCCCATTATGGGCTAGCTTGCCAGTGACCGTGAGAAGCCAGAATTAGGGATTTTTAGGTAGAATGTTGGCAACTAATTCAAATTAAAGCAAGACTTGTGTGGGCCAAACAAAACATGTCTATGGGCCAGATCTGGTCCGTGGGCTGCTGGCCTGAGACCTGTCCCCTGGGGGCTTGGATCCTTTGAAACCCCTCCCCGTCTTCCCCAGTGGCCCCCTGGGAAAATGCTGCACTGTGCTGACCTCCGGACGCGTCGCCCTGCCTGGGACAATGTCCACACCCGCTGGGCAGGCCTCTGTGCACCTCCAAACCCCTGCCCGAATGTGGCTTCCTCAGTTCCCACCCCCGGCCTGGGCAGGTGCCCTGCTCGCACCCCGCCACTGTGACAGCCACCGCAGGAACTCCTCCTTCAATCCTGTCTTCGCTGCTGTGTTACCAGCTCCTAAGTCAGGGGTGGACCCCGTCTCGTTCAGGACCGAACACAGCTCCTCGGACCTGGTCTAACACAGAGGAGACCCTGGCGCTGTGCTGCCTGGTGACTGACACTAGGGACAGACAAACAGATGCAAGGACAGGTGGGCGAACGGACAGACAGACAGACGGCTATCTACCTAATGCCTCATAATAGGAGTCCTCAGTCCAGCCATGCGGGTCAAACATGTCCTGAAGAGAAGAAAAGGTTAGAGACACAGTCACTGAGGGCCATCATGTGACAACAGAAAATCCCAGTCCCCACTCCCCAATTTTTCCAAGGGCCTTCTCGGCCAGGAGCCCCCACCTTTGAGGGCACAGGGGCGCAGCTGCGGTCCCTGGTCTGCAGCCAGCCGTCCTCAGGAAGACAAGGGCAGCGGTGTGCCCGTGCACAGGCCACTCGGCGGGAGCATGGGAGTCCACGCTCAGGCCCTCGCACCAGGCACCCAGCACAAGGCGTGTGGCCGCAGCCTTGTCCCTGCGCGCTCTCACACCAGCCGGCTCCCACAGCAGAGGCGGGACTATGCTTCTCGGCCAGCAAGGCCACCACGCGGCCCTTTCCGTGGCTCCAGGCTGAATGCAGTACAGCGAGCACAGGGCCCTGGGTACCCCCAGATCCAGGCATCAGCCTCCACGTGCGGGACGTACCTTTGGGTAGTTGGTGCCGAGCTCATCAATTGCACAGAACTGGATCAGCTTCTCATAGATGCTGAAAGGAAAAAGGCACCAAGCCCTGAGCCCCAGTTGACTTATTCTAAGCAAGCTCCCTGACAGGAGGGCATGTTCACTGGTCGGACATCTAGTCACTTTTGCCCTCTACTCTTGCAGGGATGGGCTGCTTGCCAGGGGCCAGGACAGGTATGGCGTTGCAGTGAGGGCTGCGTTTTTCTGGGTCTCACTTGGACAAGCGGCCTTCAGTGTGCAGCGGGGCTGGGCCACCACACTCGGGCCCACACGAAGGCTGGGCAGGTCCCTGCTGTCACCACACCAGACCCTCCCAGGTGTGCTACTTGCTCAGGCACCGGACAGAGCAAGACCCAGACGCAGCTCTGTCCCTCAAGTCTACTGCCGACCCACAGAGTCGGTGATTGTTTAGAGGTGAAAGAACCCACGACGGTGGTCTAATCCAACCCCCTCACTGCACAGATGAGGCAGCCGAGGCCTTGTGAGGTCACACATTTTAGGAGCAGAGCGGGGAGGGGAACCCAGCAGCACTTCCCCATGCCAGTCCTGGCCTCCTGGCTGCCACTCCACACACGGGTTCATGTCTAGCCCAGACCTGAAACGGTAAGCTCTGGCTGCGGGAGCAGTCTGGCTCGTGGCCCCTTCGGGCTCAGGTGGGATCTCAGCTGGGTCTCTCCTTGCCACCTCCCCGGGCGCATCTGGGTCCCCAGGCCAAGGTCAGTGACTCAGCCTTCCCTGCAGGCCATGGGCACCTCACCTGGGGTTCCGAAACTCCTTCTTCCTTTGGATAATGTAGTTCATATCCATCCCCTCCTTTATCTTCCGCTCATAGAGCTTCTGGATCTTGTCCTATGGAGAGCAGAAGGGCACTCAGGACACCCAATCCCAGTCTGTGGTCGTGCGTGCTGTGTGGGCCCTGAGCCTCACTCAGGAGACCCACAGAGCCACGTGAAGCCCTGCTCCAGCTTACTCTCTGCACCCAGCCTCTGACCAGTGCTGAGCGCAAGGTAAGCGAGACCAGCCTGTTTGCATTTTGCTTTCCCCGACTCCCTCTGGATGGCTGGAAGAGTGAGCAGTAAAAAGCTCAAAGCTGAGAAGCCATGGAGAAGACCACCGAGCGATCGCCACCCGGTTCACCAGTTTCAGGCCCTAGCAGGGACGGGCAGGGGCTGAGGGCTGGTTTTACACTTTAACACAGGGTAAGTCCTCAGCGGGAGACCCGGAGGTCGGTGTCCTTTTGGAGGAAGGCAGGAGCAGAGTTTGGGAGTCGGTCTCACACGTTCCCTAGAACGTCCTTTGTGGAGAGGCTCACGGTGGCCAGTCCCCACCACTCTATTAAGAGGCACCATCGGGGTCAAGAGCTCCGCAGTCACTTTTGAGAAGAGGCAGGCTGGGCTGCAAGTCCCACGGATGCCCTTTGGCAACATCAGGAGAGGTGTCGGCTCTCTGTTAGAAAGCCCATGTTTTTGTAGAGACTGGCCAGAGGAAGCGCCGAGTCATCAAGATGGGTCTGTGGCACATTCACCAGGGAAGAGAGAAGCCAACGGGGACAGCCCCCAATGTACAGCCAAGGTACCAGAGGGAGGCCTGGCAGAGGAGGATCGTGTATGGAGGCAGACCAGTCTCTCAGATGACTTCCCATGTCTCCTAGGCCATCAGACGGTTCCCCCATCGTGCTGTTCCGTGCTTTCTGCCGCTATGAGGACCGGGAAAGGAGTAGTGTTCTGAACCTGAAGGTGGAGCTGAGGGTTGTCCCTGGGGGCTGATGGCTAGACTGTCCTTACAGGCTGGGACTTGCAGCCTAGGATGGAGGTTACACCGGCCTGGGGGGTGGCAGGCTGAGGGTTGGTGACTCAGCCGAGGAGGAGACTTCCAGAAAAGGAAGAGAATCTTCACTGCACCCAAAGCCCCAGCCCACTGCATTCCATGGCCCCGGGCCCCTTAGTCACCAGGCCACCAGGGTGGTGCCATGGGCTGCGGTGTGGCCAGAGGCTCCAGCAGAATCTACGGGATCAAAGGTAGGGCAGGAAGACCGGACGCCTCCACTGGGCAGCTGTGGGGGTCTGCCCTCTTCTTCACCACAAGGGCCCACTCACAGGGCACCAGCACAGGGACAAGCAACAACCTCAGAGGCTAAAAAGGTGCAAAGGCCAGCTGTCCCCCGAGGGCCGCTCCCAAGGGAGCAGCTGCACCTAATGCTCCGCTTCCTCGGGATTTCTGACCTCAGGTCGGGACTGAATGGAACTGTAACACACAAGCGAGGGAGCTGGAATTTTGGGAATATGAGAATAGCAATTTTACACATAAAAATGCTTGTGTTTTGTATTCTAAAATTTATTTTACTTCCGGATGATCCCTAGCTTTCTTAGCAAAGCTCCTTCTGAGACATTCCCACTGGCTCGGCTGGGCTACACGTGAAAGGCATGTCCTCTCTCCTCCTGGACCCAGCACCTCCCGCGTGCAAGCGAGGGGCCCTGGTGGGAGCAGCACTGGGGATGCGGCGGAGTGGGCGGTGGTACAGAGCCGGCTCCTGACAGCACACTGTGGGGGCAACCAGGACCGCAGGCTCGTCCCCGCCTGCGCTGCTTCTGCCACAGAAGCCTCTTAACAGTCAGCCTGAATCGGACCCCTGGCCCAGGCCTCTCGCCTGCATGGCCCTCCGCAGTCGAGCTCAGTGCTTACTTGTAAGTGATTCGAACACCTGCCAGCGGGCTCAGGCGGGATCTTGATTTCATCGGGCAACATGTTCCGGACTCTCTCAGAAAAGGAGGCTGTTGAGAGAGCAGAGAAGGATTCTGTACGGAAGTGGGGGTTAGGGTGGGGGTTACATGGACAAGGGACAAAGAAAGCACCCAATGTTTTCAGGAAGGGATCAATGCTACGAGTGTCCCGAACAGCCTCTCTTAGTGGGCGGTGTCGTCTCAGTTGAGATTGCATGACCTCAATGTCGTGCATGTGCTACCAGGGAACGCTAAATTGAGGCAGAGGGTACAAGTGTAAAGAGAGCGGGCCACGGTGCCACGGCAGTAACTTTCTGGGAAGGAGCTGTCCGCGGGTGCTGGTGCACAGGAGGCGGGAGGGGGGCAGCCGCCATCTGCCGCATCTGCCAGGGTTCACGGTGGAAGTTCTGCCACGGCCACAGTCACGCTGCCAGCGGGAGGCCGTTGACCCAGGCTGGGAGGAGGGGTGCATGCGGGCTGCCAATGCGAGCCAGCTCCCCAACTCCAGCTCTCCACTGGTCATGCCCCTAACCACCCTCCCAGGGCTCTGGAAACTCAAGAGTCGCTTAGGGCCACCTTTCTCATCCCAAGATAGAACAGAAACAGGGCACAAAGCTCCCTAGGCTTGGGGACTCAAACCTTTCAAAGCTGCCTTGTGCATAAATGACATCTTAAAAACTACACGTTAGGATTAGCTCAGGATCTTAAAAAATAGTAAAATGAACCAATCAACCTCTTTCGGTCCACCTCCCTCTTGGGGACAAAAGGCCTGATTCTGATGTGGAGAACCACCACTTCCAAGGGACAATTCCCTCGGAGACCTGCCACCGCCCTCCAAGTGTCCCTCTCCCCGCCCACTCTCGCCCTGTGCCCTGGCCACCCCGGTGATCACAGAGTCATGCTCTGCATCACTACAACAATGCACTGCTTGTTGTGGGTTCTGTCCATGCTCTCGAAAACATTCTCTCATGAAAAGGGCCATACAATGAGCAAAGAGCAGGCGGAACGGGGTGGGGCAGCATGAAGGGGAAGAATGAACAAACTAGCACCAATAACCCGCAGCAAGTGCCTCTGGGTGCTGGCTGTCGGCCGGGCCCCGGCCCTGAGGGGCTGCGGGGAGGGCCTGGCACAGCCTGCGCCTCCTCCTTTCCCACGGCGGGGTGAGCGTTCAGCAGAGAAGGTGCTTCCTTCCACCCCCGCTGCTGCGGTGAAGAGCTCAGTGCTGAGCACGGTTAAGGGTACGGCTCCCCGGCTTCACCAGTCTCCGCTGTGCTGACCGAGCCCACATTCACTGCTGTGCTGAGGCTGGGCCCAGCGCAGGGCGGGGTGTCACAGCCTGGCCCACGTGCCGGCTCTTGCAGTGTGTCAGCAAACCCACCCAGGTGGGCCCTAGAACGGAGCGCTAGAGCTGCCACTTTGGGTGAGGACAAGGGGACCAGGACTGAGTGTCAGTGTGAGCCCGAGACACCATGTGGCCTGGGAGGACTTCCCACCAGGAAACTACATGCTTCTCTTTGCCTAGCACCTTCCTTCCGTCTCCTGACCCTGCAGCGAGGGGGACACCCGGATCTGGCTGGCGTTTTTAAATCCCGTTCTGACTTCCTCCTTCTCCCCGCCCAGGAGAAACGGGAGTTCGAAGTCCGAGACTCAGGCAGGCTGCAGAGGTGAGCCAAGTGCAATGAGCTGGGGTGGGCTGGTCTGCTGGTTTCAGGGGCACCAGCCACCGCAGCGAGCAGGGCCCGGCAGGCTTTGGGCACACAGCAGGGAGGGCCGCTCTTCCCTGGGGTGGAGAGTGTGTGTGAGCACGTGACACCAAGACAAAGAATGCCCTTTGGCATTTGCCAGGAAAGCCTTTTGGAAAAACAGGGTGTGACAGAGTTGCCATAGCAACCCAACCACACTGGGGCTGAAAGGGGACACAGTATGGGGGGGTCGGTAGGGGAGAGCTCCTGTTAGGACAAGAAGTAGCTGGCAAATGAAGGGACACACTCAGGAAGCTAGAAACAAGTTTACCCCAAGGATTTCAGAAGCAGCCTTTCAGTGATCCATCCCGAAGTCCCGGGGCGAGTCTGCAGGAGAAGCCATCAGACCCACACGCGTGGCTGTTTGAGCAGCCACAGGCCCCCAGCCACCTTCCCAGGACAGACCCTGAGAAACATGCCCAGGCCCCTGGGGAGCCATGTCTGGGGTCCTCTGGGGTCCACTGGGATGGTGTGGGAGGGCGGCCACACTCAGGATCTGAGAGGCCCGTGGTCTGCGTGACTCACCCCGTGCACACCTCAGTCAGGAAGCGGCGATGGCACCCACGGCCGCCATCTCTCTAGCAGGAGGCAGTGGCGTGTCTCTAGGTCACAAGAGACACAGAGAACCCAACTGGATCACTAGCCAGCGGCCACTGTGCCAGGCACGCCCGTGCGGCACCGGTGGGCACCTGGAGGGTACGGACAGAATGTGCCCGCGTGCGGAGGAACCTGCAGGTCGGCTCCTCTCCTTTCATCTGCCCCATTTAACCTGTGCTGTCTACACAGAGGAAGTGCTTCTCAGGCCAGGGATGGAGAGTCCCCCACGCAGAGGGGCTGACTGTCGCGGGTCTTAGAGCATGGGCCTCTTGTTCAGCCATTCCTTCCTCAGCGAGACACGGCAATGGCAACCAAAGCTACGAGGCTTGAGGACCTTCTGTGCCGTCTGCAGGTGAGTGGGTTAAAGCAGTGGGGGTGTAACCCCCCAGGGAAGTAACAGCTGGCAACAAACAGAAAGGAGCTGTGGGCGTGCTTCAGCACGGATGCATCTAAACCAGAAGGCAAAAACACTATGACTCTGTGTGCATCAACGGTCCCACCGGGGACAACTGTGGCCCTCAAGGGGACTTGTGACAATGTTGAGAAATATTTTTCATGGTCCATGTGGGGCGGGTAGAGGCAGTGCTATGCACACCTAGCCGGTCAAGACCAATGGTGCTGCTAAAACACCGCCCAGGGGCCCACGGCACAGAATGACCCAGCCCAGACATGCCGACGGTGCCGAGGCTGCGAAACCCCAGTGTGCAGGACATTCTGAAAAAGGCACGGCCACGGTGAGGAAGGACGCTGCTGGCCCGGGCTGAGGAAACCCTCTGCGAGGGGAGGGCCCAAGGCGGCCTGTGGAGTGACCAAGATGCTCCAGATCACGGCTGCGGTGGGGGGGGTTACCATGGCTACAGTCTCCGTCAGAACCCCTCAAGTGGCACGTTTTAAATTGGCCAATCTTACAACTTCAGTGTATGTTACACCCGAATACGGCCGTGTTCACAGAGTGGCGAGAAGAGAAAAGGGAAGTGGGTTGTGGAAACGCCGGGAGGAGTGGCCGAGGCCCACACACATTCCCCTGCCTGCTGAGCATGTGCAGTGCTGCGTGGCCTCACGTCCTGAGTGGGGCTGTCTGATTCTGCTCCGCCCCCAGGCTCTTGGTAGTAAACATCAAAGACGCGTTGGGCGGGGAGGGGACAGGAGTCCCAAGGCTCCAGTCCATCTCACCCTGTGGGTCACTCCCCTCCCCCGGGAGGCCATGGGCGTCCTTGCAGGGGGTGCTGCCTCCTTTTTGGACCCACAAAACCAAAGGACGCCCCCTACACTGCTGTTTTCTAAAAAGCAAACCCTGAGGCTGTAGGAACATTCTGGTTTTGACAGGAGTGGAAAGACTCCCATTTCCACTCATGAGAAAACCCAGGAGTAAAGGCAGAATCCCGCCGAGGGTCTGGGTTGCCCAGAGTGGGCGGGGTCCTGCCCACTTGATCCTCAGAAGACAAACATAAGGAGTACTTTCCAGTCCTCTCCGTGAGGAAAACCAGAGTGGGCCCCCTCTTCAGCCCCAGCAGCTGGGGAGCAGGGCCGGCCTGTGAAGATTACGCAGGCAGGGAGAGACTGTCACAGCCGCTGCCGAGAGGGAGGGTCAGCCCCTCGGCGAGGCCCGGCCCAGCGCTGGGGGAGTAGTCATGAAGTGCACGGCCACTTGGAAGGAGCTGAGGGACTTGTAAAGGGAGGAGGAGGCCGTTTCCCAGAACCGTAACTGCCCGCCCTCCAGTCACAATGTGCTGCGGGCCCAGGACTGGGTGGCATGTTCTCCTCGGGGACAGAACCAAGTGCCAGAAGAGGCCACATCTGCTTCTGGAGCACATGGATATGCCAGCAGAGCAGGGGGGAGGGGCAGCTGGACACGGGACAAGCTCAGGGCACAAGGAGAAGGAGCTCCCGGCTGAATGGGCCCTGAGTCCCTCCTGACGACACTGGCAACCGACCAGAAGAGCCCGATGAAACACACCACGACCGCCTTTCAAAGAAGAACCGTTCCCAGGGGTCACACCCAGATGCCACTGGAAACGCCAAAGGCCCTGAGAGAGGCAGGAGAGACCAGGATCACAGCCGAGTGGCTGCCCTGGGCGGTGGGGAGAAGCCCCCATGCCCACAGGCCCTGTCCAGCGAGGTTCAGAAATATGTCCACCTGGGTACTCACCAACTAACTCCTGCGGATCCCGCTTTTCTACTTCTGGGTTGTCCTGCAAGAGACAAGCAGAAACGCGAGGCGGTGAGCCCGGTGCCCGACCCAGAGCTACTTTCCGCAGAGACCACTCAGGACTCGAGGGAGGGGACAGACGAGGGCCAGGCACCTGAGAGAGAGCCGAGGCTCGGGGGCCTCCGGGAGGCCTGCGCGCCTGCCTCCTCCACGGCCTCCAGCGGGGCCAACACCCACCAAGGCCGAGGAGAGGGAGCGCCAGCCGCCGTCTGTCACCTGCACACCTGGGCCCGACCCATGCCGTCCCAGGGCCAGCCACCCCAGAGCACCGCGGCCCCGACCCGCAACTGAGGAAGCAAGAGATGGTGGCTACTTTCTACCACAAAACGCCAAAATGAAACACACACCTATCTACTCAAAAGAGGTTTTTCTTACTTTTAGTTTAAGCACAAAAGGGAGACTTTATCACAGGGGTAGCCCATGGGACCCTGGAGCAGACATGCAGCCAGACTTGATATAATTCTTTCTCACACACACACCCAAACCAGGGCCCAGCATGGCCCCGGCACGGAGGCACTCGCCCTGGCTCTCCTTGGCTCACCTCTCGGCGCTCTTCCCACTGGCTTTACAGTCTCTCTGCAGAAAAGCTCTCTGATGCTTACTGTGAACCGCTGCCCCCGTCATCCACTGCCACGCACCTGTTGGTCCCGCAGCGTGCGGGGCCCTCAGAGCAAAGGCTTCCCAGCAAACATCTTTCTGGACTAGCTCTGCATTTCACCGCTGAGCAGAGGCTTCACCTAAACGGGGTCCACCTGGAGGACACGTCCCGGCCTTGTCACCAGCGGGCGCGGGGGCAGGCAGGCCTTCCCTTGCTTCTGTTGTCCCAAATGTCCATCAAGAATGTTGCATCTCCAGAATGTTGTAACATTTCTGGGGACACTCGCCCCTCAAACATGGGTCAGGGGGCCTGGAGGGCCACCCCACGCTGACCATCAAAGTGGCAGAAGCGGAGCTCCCAGGGAGTCACAGGACCTCACTCCCTTTCGCTGTGGCCGGTGAGGGAGGAGGTCAGCCACTACAGCTCTGAACGAAGCCGGACACGGTAAGAGCTGTAGAGCTCTGCTGCCCCCGCACCCCCACGAGGAAATGTTACGCCAAGGTAACGCGTCAGGAAGGGAAGTGCAGGAAGATCCCCTAAGCCCCTCCCACAAGATGGCTCCATGATAAGACAGACACCTTAGCCCCCTTCCCCAAAAAGTCCCTCCCGATCACGGGACAGGCCCAAAGCCCTGCACTCTTCTGAACACTGTGGCTATTCATTCAGCCTGCGCCGGCACCGTGTCCAGGCCAGGCTGCTTAGCAACCAGGCTCCACTGCCACCTGCCCCCTGCCAATCAGGTGGGCAAAGAGGAGGCGGGCCTGGAGGACTGCCACACCGAATTCAGGTTGGTCATCAATCAGCTGCTCCATGGACAGTGCCAGTCTCCAGGGGCCCACGACAGTCCCTTTGTGGCAGGGAGCAGGGACTGTGGAGGAACAAAGATTAAAGAGCGTGACAGTAACAAAATGTGCGACCATAAAGGGCCCTTCAAGTTCCCTCCAGGGGATGACTTTCTGGGAGTTAATTGTGGGAAAATACAAGTACATCCACCTCCTCTCTTGGGCCCATTGCCTGGTCACAGGGAGTGCTGACCTGTTACTACTCAGAGGTCCTCTGGGGGCTCTTTCCCAAAGCCCGGAACAATGCCGGCCCCTCTCCTGGCCCCAGATGCAGAGCTGGGGAAGGAGGCAAGACATCCGCATTGGAACTACTGGAATTCTGTGTTTACTCCCGGGGCACAGGAAGTCAGTTACTCTAGGAGCGTCCTGGGTGCGGTAAAAGGCCCTGGGCCTCCCCGTGGCTGCCGGTAGCTTTCCTGTCCCTGGCAGTGGGGGGTGGAGGGGTGGAGGGTGGGAATCCCTGAATTTCACAAGATCCTTGCCTGGTTTCGCTGAGGTGGCTTAGTCTTTCTTTTTTTGGCTTGGCTACTCATTCCCCCAAATTAATCATTCTACATATACCCCCCACCTAAAAAAGATGAATTTGGTAGTTGGTCCTATTTGACAACTAGTCTCTGCTTTACACCCTCACAAGATGTGCATGTGTGGACACACGCACACAGACGGGTACTGTGTGCACAGAGAGCACCCGAGCCCAGCGGAGCCACGGACTCTTAACCCCAAACCCCATGTCCCCCAGAACAAGTGCCGCCCCAATTTCTCCGCAGTGGCATCCAGCTCCAGTCACTCCAGGCCAAGGGCCGACCCAAGGATGTGCACCCAGCTCCGAGCGTGAGGAGATCCTCCCCCTTAAGAGAACCCCGGGTGAGGAGCCGCTCCAACCTGCACCAAGGAACCCGAACCTGGAGGGACTCAGGGGTCTGTGGCTGTTCAGTTCCCCGTGTGTGTCACAGGCACCAGCGGGACTTCTGGGAATCGAGCCACAGGAGTCCGTGCCTCCTGGTGGCCACGCCTCGTTATTATATTTCAGAGTGTGGTTCTTCTGCCCTCTGACGTGAGCAAGCGGTGGTGAGCTCCTGGGCGTGTGTCTCTGTACCAGGGAGCCCCTCAAAAAGAACACCAACCAGCCCCGGTCTCCTGGACCCTCATGCAGCCTCACCCAACACCCTGCCCTGAGCATGAAAAGGAAAAGGGCTTGCCCTGGCCGGTGGCTTAGTCGGTTGGAGTGTGGTCTCCTGCACTGAAAGGCTGCGAGTCTGACCCCCCCAGTCAGGGTACACACTAGGCTGAGGGTCTGACCTCATTTGGGCAGAGGAGGCAGCAGATCGCTGTTTCTCTCTCCCACCAATGTCTCCCTCTCTCAGAAAAATCAATAAATATATCCTTGGGTGAGAAGTAAAAAAAAAAGAAAGGGAACAGGCTTGCTTACGCCCAGGAGCAAAGGGCCCGAGGCCCACCCTCCCGTGCTCTTCAAGTGGAGACGGCAGGACTTCGGCCAATGAGGAGGAAGCTCAGCAAGGACAGTTGAGGCGTCTGTCGAGACCGGTGAGGACAGGTATCCAACACCCAAAAGACACCTTTTAGAACCATTTACAGTCGACTGTCCTTCCAAGTAAGTTTCAGTCAATGAAACCAGCCTCGGGGGAAGAACAGGGCCTGTGGGTGGACAGGACCTGGGGCGGGGCGGGGCTGTCCATGCTCAGGACGAAAACACAGAGAGACACCTTCCTCCCAGTTGGTCCCAGTCATTTGCCGTGAACTCAGCACAAAAAGAACCAAACACTCAAGACAGCCATCTTGGAAGCCAGCCATGGGTCAGGACAAACATCTGATGAAATGTTTAAAATGACAGAGCTGAGGAGACGCAGGAAAGGTTCACACTCCCCAACTGCCAGCAGCTCGAGAAACCGGTCTGACAAAAGTTGCTGTGGGTGGACTCCGGCCCTTAAAGGGGCAGCAAGGCAGCGGCTGGGAGACACCTGGGAAGGGCAGCAAGGAACCACTCCTCCTGTTCTCCCTCCTCCCCGAGGCAGCGTTTCTTAGTGCACACGGGGACACTGTCTCAACTTGCCTGCACAGGGACGCCAGTCTGGACTGGGTGAGTCCACTCCCTGGCCTCCGGGTGGATATTCTCAGTTGGTCAAAGTATAAACTCAGCCTGGAGAGTCACTCACCACAGACATGTGTGCGTCAGCTGGAGGTGGGGACCCACAGCCCCGAGACCTGGACACAGAGCACACGCCCTTCAGACCCAGAAGGCGGAGGGAAGGTGAAAGCAAAGCATGAGCCCTAAGAGAGCAACTCACCTAGCAACTCTCTAGTTCAAGTCCAACTCAGACACAAGGAAAAACCAAACCAAATGCGCAGCTTCCTAAGAAGCAGAGAGAGACGATGGGGAAGGGAGGAGAGATCAGTGAGCATGTCAGAGGAACCAAACTCTGAGGCACGGCCTCCTCCTCTGGCTGTCTGCACTTCTCCAGCCACCTGCTCCCAGGGCAGGGTCCCCTAAGGTGAAAGCCCCACCAACCTGGGCGAGATGGGGCTTTATTGTGGATGCCCCCAGAGAGCGGTGATGTGAAGCGGCCAAATTTTGGTTCTTAATCGGCTGTGTCTGAGACCTGTAAGAATGCAGCAGCTACAGCAGGGGTCTCTGACTCAGGAATCACAGGGTGTGGAATGCAGGTTGCCTGGCAGAGAACAGGGAAGTCCAGCCACCAACAAAAAGATGAGTGCCCTGCTGGGTGTGGCTCAGTGGATGGGTGTCGTCCTTCAAACTAGAAGGTCTCTGGTTCAATTCCGGTCATGGTACACGCTTAGGTTGTGGGCCAAGTTCCCAGGTGGGGGCATATGAGAAGCAACTGATCAATATTCCTCTCACTCTTTTTCTCCTTCCCTTCCCCTCCCTCTAAAAATAAAGTCTTAAAAAAAAAGACGACTGGAGCAGAGGGAGGGTGCAGCAACATCACGCACACGTCCACGCACATACACTGCCCTTTCTGATGGCTAGGGGTTCAGCTCAGGGCTTCACAGCCTCCTCCAGCTACAGTGCTATGACCCAGACCCCAAACCTGTTCCAGTCCACAGCTCTTTTCCGGGCGTGCACTCAAGATCGAAAGGGAGGCTGCGGCAGGGGAACTAACAATGGGCAGGACTGGCAGTGGAGGCTGATGTGGGGCAGGTAGAAGGAAGAAGGGGCACCAACGCGGAGCTGAAACACCTTAAACCTAGCTTGCTACTCCTAAGCCTAAGGCAAAAAGACATATAATTATTATACAGTCAATTCGCTTATTTACTCCACAAGTAATTCATTCATTACTTATTATGAATAAGGCAATGGCCAAACACTAGCAGTACGATATAAACAAAACTCAGACTAGACATCTGGACGGTGTGGCTCAGTGGATTGAATGCTGGTCTGCGAACCAAAGGGTCCTTAGTTTGAGTCCCAGTCTGGGCACATGCCTGGGTTGCTGGCCAGGTCCCCAGTAGGGGGCACATGAGAGGCAACTACACATTGATGTTTCTCTCCCTCCCCTTTTCCCT